GCATCTCTCACCAGTCCAAGGCAGTTTGCACAAGCAGGAAAAAGTTTGGCTTTTTTTGCTGGGAAAACATGATCCTCCGTTAAGGCAGCTAGCGAACAAACATCCCTGAAAAAATAAAAATTGCAAAATAAAAATGCCGAGAATATTATTTTGCTTGTCAGTTAGAGACTTAAACTGGAAAGAGAAGTTTCTTTGTTAAAGAAGTTGAAAGTCAAGATACAAACCATAAGGATTTAGACAGAAAATTACGGAAAAAAAGGAATTGAACGTATATTAGTTTAAAAGAGGTTAATATTTAATATACTGTCAACATTATAGATGAGGAGCGAAAGTGTTTCATTTCGAGTACTTCACATTTTTCGAAATAAAGTCTGTGAGTCCCTTGAAATTTTGAACAATGCGATAAACGCAATCCGTTCCTACTAACTTGTTGAATCTTCCAGGAAATTTTCAGCTTTAATTTGTGTTTCTAGTTGCTCTTTCGAAATGTCGAATAACTTGTAGTATCCTGCTGTTTACCTTGAGGAAAATAGAAAATGTTACTCCTTCGTGATCATCAAAGTTGTTTTTCTCGTCTACAACGGAGATGTCGTGTTTGTTCAGTTCACAAACTCCTTCGTCCTCCTTCTTGGAGAAAAACTTGAAGTTTGTGGAAGAACACGACGCGGATCTCAAACATTCTTGACCGCACGATAGCATACTGGCAGAATTGAAACGTTTGAAAGCGTACCCTAAAAGCTGCTTATTCTCCATCGTTTTAATATTCGATGAACGACGAACTAAGTTTCCTTCAGCAACAAAAACAAAAGTTGTGAGCAATGTCATGAAAAGGGCTTCTTTCAAATGCATGTTTGAGCACAAATTYAGACTAGCCCACGTCAGTCCTGTTTGCTATGAATTAATTTCCCCCAAAGGCGCGGATCAGGCCAAGTCATTTGACAGGTTTGACAACCGTGAAAAATATAGTTCCCAATCCTTAAACACATATTGACAACAATTACCAATTTTATGGAAAATAGTCTCAGGTAAATAATAAAATTGAAGAAATTAAACACCTATCTTGATATAAAATAGAACTTGCTTCTTTGATACAGGTTTTCTGCTGTATCAATTCTACGTAAAATTTGTCCTTAATTTTTTACTATTATCCGTGCATCGCATAAATTATTCAGCTGGGCGGGTTCTTTTAAACCACCAATATTCAACGAAGCCTGCATTAAACTGCAGTAAGAGGTGGGTGTATTGTTCAGAGTTTTGGAATATGTAACGTCATTCTTTTCGTACGTCGTTGCAGTATTCCACTCTTCCACAGTGACTATTCCATCGTTCATCATTTTTAAATGAATCCGGTAGGACTTTTTCATAAGCAGTAATGTTCTAAAAGAGGAAACATACTGTACCTCTTTTTATTTGTACGAAACCATCACAACGGGATGCCAATCGCATTTCAGTTTCTTTACGACACGACATACTATCCGTGATGTCCTAATTAGAAAACACCTGTCATAAGCCGATATTCTCAAAGTTTATATCTACAGCAAGTGTACGCCTTAAAATCGCTTGTTTCGTGAAATTAACACTTTAATTTATTAATCGTTTTCGATGGTAATTTTATTTGCTCACGTGTATTTTACTTCACCTGAAAATCCATTTGTAAATTTGGGTTTTCTCAAAGTTTGTATCTACAAAAAGTCTACGCCGAAAAATCGCTTGTTTCGTGAAATTAACACTAGTTTATTTTCGGTTTTCCATGGTAAATTATTATTTGATCACGTGTATTTTACTTCACGTGAAAATCTATTTATAAATTTGGCTTTCGATTGACGTAATGTTTGCTCTTGTGAATATTGAGTCCACACGGAGAAGCAACTTAAAGTCAACGATTTCTTTTTTCGACATTAGCAAAGTCGCTGGACCTATGTCATGGATTAAACTCTACTGAGATCTCTTTTAGGTATTCGGGATTCATGACATTTGTACTAAATAAGTACAAGCAAGCGAAATCGAAAGAGGACTGAGTTCCACAACAGCTACTGCTTCCTTACCCCTCCCCACAGAGTGGCCTTGAAGAAGCAAAACATTATGGCGGAAAATTTAGTCGACGATTTTGAAGTTCTTCACATAAAGGCTCTGGAAGACAACGATTATTCTCAATGGATGGAGAATTTACCAAATGAAAAACAACTCTGTCCATTGAAAGATTTAGTGATCCCAGGGTCTCACGATTCGGGGACATTTTTTCTCGATCAAAACATGGAGATTGGTCCAGACGAGTCATCTGCCATTCAAACGCTCGGAAGTATTTTTGGAAAGGTAGCAAAGTCTGTCATCCACAGTTGGTCTGTCACACAGTCAATGACAATTTACGAACAGCTTTTGTCAGGGATTCGGTATCTGGATCTCCGAGTCGCCTACAGAGCCGAAGAGAAAACGATACGTGTGGTACACGGGTTGTATGGTTGGACGATAGACCAAGTCTTGGACGAAGTGAACCGGTTTGTGGCCAATTATCCGAAAGAGATTGTCATTTTAGACTTCAATCATTTCTACAAAATGGATCAAGCTGCCCATGAAAAACTTGCAGATACCCTGCTTGCATCGTTCAGCGAGATTTTCCGCGTTCCCGGCGCAGATGGCCCGAATGTCACTCTTCAAGAAATGTGGGGGAATGAAGAAAAGGTCATAATTATTTATCACGACTATGGCGTAGTCGATGCTTACCCCTGTTTCTGGCCACCCCATTTAATCTGCTCCCCGTGGCCGAACACTGCGGATAGGAAACTACTGATAGAGTTTCTCAACAAACAGTCAAAAGCGTCCAGTTTTTCGGAAGATGCCTTTCAAGTGACACAAGCTATTCTAACACCACAAACTTCAACTGTGATTCAAAACATGACAAGCACTTTAAAAGATGTTTTGGCTTCGAGATGCAACTGCCATGTAACTGGGTGGCTAAAGGCTCTTTGTGGTACGAAGTGTCACAAGTTTAATATTATCATCGCTGACTTCGTTGAATTTGGCGATTTTATCCCAACTGTCATCAGCCTGAATTATTTTTTCTAAAACACTAATATGTTGAAAGACTATATAAAAGTGAAGCCGAAGTTTTGATAACCAAAGACGAGGCTGTTGAAAAGGGCTATCTAGAAAACGGATTAAATGGGGATATAAATCCATCCTTAACCAAAGCCATGGCCCCTAATATTCCTGGCATCCTGCAATGAGTCAGCAAATTAAAATTGCATTCTTAAGCTTTGCTCACACCAGGCTTGGGCATGAGTCTCACGTCTATAGAATAAAAACATTGATCTTGGGGCAGATTATGCTTGCTAAGTAATTCCTTATGCTAAGCTAAAAACCCTGCTTTGTTACAGCTTTGACAGACACGCTTTTTAAAGATACATGATTCAAAAGAAATATGCTAGAACTACCGTAATCTGGGCCAAATGGATTCTGTAAATAACTGCACTTTCCCCAATATCTCAGTGTTTCAAAGACAAGGTACGGGGGGCAGATTGCATTGGAACTCATCAGGATGTGTTAGTAAGGAGAGATCAGATCCTCTTGTGAAAATATCATACCACTGGCTTGTAAAAAAGATGGAGGATATGGTATACAGCAGTAGTGAAATGTTCAACAGCTACAACCAAATCACACTGACCTCCTTGTAAGGCTAGGTTAGTTCCGTGAGGTATCATTCTGTAATATAGAGACATAAATCCAGCATCAAACATAGTATCTTGGCCTAGAGATGGAAGAAATATAGCTTTGGGTATTTTTGGCTTGTGAAAGATCCACCTAAATACAATGGTTTATCAGCTAACCCTTAAACTCCTATGAGTGACTAAGACAGAATTTCTCCTCACGTTATCAATACAATATGAAGCAGACAAGTGATGAGAATACAGAAAAATGTAAATTAGGGGATTCTTAGTTGATCCAGTACTGAATTCTCCAAAACTAATATCAAGAATTTTATAGCAGACGGTAAGGAGAATAATTGCCAATGAGATCTTGGGAGAGGGCTAAGTGGAATTATGACTTTGCATTCTGGAAAGATAACCCTAAAAGGCAAAGTTGAGAATGGTCACTTTAATATCAGAGTAGTATTGTATTCGGTGGCCGATATTCTGACCAAGAGAATCAGGGCTCAATGCTAACTTTTCAATGTTCTAGACAAGTGGCTGGTGACATCTTAGATGCTACGACAAAGTCAGTTCATTTACGAGCCAAACTGGCTAGTGGAAACCCAAAACCACTAGCCAAAACTGAATTATTACTAGTCTGTGGCTAGTGGGCTACCGTTAGTGTCGAGTCCTGAAGATTGCCACTTATGAGAGCATGCCCCAATCAAGTTTAATTTAGAGAGTGCATATCTAATACTTGTTACTTAAAACACACTTGGAGAAAGTTATTCTTATTATCTTTGCTGGTTGAATGTGTTTTTGATGAGAGAGAATTCAAAAAATTTATTGAAAAAAAAATTGTGCAATTTGTTAAGTTCAAATTAGCTATTTATTAGCAGATCCTCGGCTCAAATTTAAACATTCCTGGGAGAGTGCTCTTTAAACAGCAAAGCCCTGCAATATACCTGTGGTTTATATTCCATCGTTAACTTCCTTTTTTTTTTTCGAGTGAAAACATATGTTAAACAGGTTTTTTTTCTTTTAGCCCTATCAGTGACATTGATGTACAAATTAATGTACAAGTGGAATTGTATTGTACAAGTGGAATCGTATTGATGTACAATTAAAATATGTGCCGATAAAATAATATATAAAATAAAATTATCATTTGACCATCTCTAAATGGAGTTTACATACATCTACCTTAACTTTAACTTAAAAGTGAAGCTGGACTTGCAGTGGCGTATCCAGGGGGAGGGTCCGGGGGGTTCGGACCCCCCATCAGACCCGATGCTTACAACCTTGACACTGAAATTTTTATACCCACAGGATCGTATATCACTTTTTAACTGGCTGATTTTTTAAATGAATGAATCCAAGTAAATGGTAAGTGGCCAAGGAATTATAACGTGCAACTGCAACTGGTGGGAGGGGGTGTGGGGGAGAGGTAATTTGCCTCAAAAGAGTCCAACAGTCCTTTCTGAACCAAAGTTTGGACCCCCCCCCTATCAAAAATTCCTGATCCGCCCCTGACTTGTAAAATCCAGTGGTATGTTGATCAGCACTTAACCATCAACTGTTTGTGATTAAGAGAGAAATCTTAATTTTCACTGTCCTTTCACAGCCATTGTCAGTGTTTCTCAAGACACAGACCATTCCCCTACCCTCAACTTTCAGGAGATGGTCTGGCAGCCATAAACTACCCCTTTCAATGTCTTAAATCACTAAAAAAGCAGCTGCACACCTAGCTACCCCTTCCCCTAAACCAACAACAGGCTGCTGTCAACAAGTCAGGGTTAATGATGGTTTAGGGGAGAAGTGGGTGCACAGTTCAAATTTCCTCATATATATTGGTTGTGGTCCAAAAGGTCACATACAAGTAATCATACATTCATAACATGACTATTGTGGCTGTGGTAGCCAAAATTTCAAACCTCAAACTTCCCAATTTCCTGCTTACAGCATGGCCCTTTCCTTCCTTTTTGCTCTTCCCTTGCACCCTTGCACCCTTGCACATTCACCCTCCCTCCCCTGCGCGCTGCTGTACTTACACCCTTGTATCAAAGCAATGATGTCATCGTCCCCGTCCAGTTGTGAGCAGCCCTGGGAACGAATTAAGTCATGGCCGGTGTGATCATAAAGAACGTGGGTTTCAGTTTCCGGCGAGATCAGCAAATTTGGCAATTGGTCATTAGTCTGTGACGATGGCGCAAGAATCACTGTCAGAAAAATATATCAGCCTTAGTTTGACTGCTCGATATGCACGTTCATGGAAGACTTGGGAAGGAATCCGTGAACTTGTCCAAAACTGGCACGATGGAGTGTATCTCTCGCTGGAGAAATTAAACGCCGTGTCGAGTTCAAGAGTGATCTTTCAGCATATGAAAGAAAAAGATTCTCTCTTGTATAAAGCAATTTTAACAGCTGGAGATTTCCTTAACTCAGAGAGGAAAGCAACGGAAGACAGGGGCTCGGATGACCGAGAGTTTAGTGGGACGAATCGAACGCGAAGACCTGATGATCAAACCTTCAATTCTTCAGTAACTGACAACAGAGTCAGAGGCGCTGAAAATAGAGGCTCTATCGACATTGAACTAGGGCGAATCGATTATAATCCCACCAGAAAGAAGCTGACTTTGATAAACCATGATACAGAGCTTATGAGAAAAGTGTTGCTCCTCGGGTTCTCAAATAAAGCTTCAAACAAGGAGGTGATTGGACAGTTCGGCGAAGGACTGAAAGTTGGGGCACTAGCTTTGGTGAGGGAAGGAAGGGTACTTACTATGAAGACTGGTAAAGACCAGTGGAGATTTGGTTTATCCCATGATGAGACATTTGATGAAGAAGTTCTGACGGTATTTGTTGATGACAGGTGGAAGGAAAGCAATGACGATGATGATGGCAATGATGATGACGATGATGATGATGATGAAAATAATGAGACGAGCCTTGGACAGAAAAACACCTCTGTTGCAGTCTTTCCTCTCTGTCTTGAAGACTGGGAAGTCTACTTGACAAGGTTCCTCTTTCTCAGCCCACCTACAGACTCTGTCAAGTCTGTGGCAGGAACTTTGCTTTTAGGTGATCATTACAAAGGTCAACTTTATGTCAAAGGTGTCTGGGTGTCGGACCTGTCTAAGGATGGATTAGCATCAGGAGTTGACTTCGTTCACCTCAGGATTGACAGAGATCGAAGAGCTGTTGTTCATCTCAGTGACATAGATCATCAGATAAGCAGTATGTGGGTACAAGCAATACAAGAACGACCAGATCTGATTCCACACTATTATCGCCTCTTGGAGGAGAACAAAACTTCTGATGTGCGTCATGCAAATTTTTACCTTAATGAGAAGTCTTCCTTACTTCTAGCACAACAGTTCTTCACTGTTCATGGATCTATGGCATATCCTGTACCAAACACAGTTTCATCAGATTTACTTACTGAAATAAAAAGGGAAATTAATAAAAAACTGGTGCTGTGTAATGAGGCCTTGATGCAAGTGTTATACAATTCTGGTATAGTGGAACCCTTGGAGACAGTCTTGTCAAATACTTCAACAAAGAAATCAGTTATAATTCCTTTCGCAGAATTGACTCCCGAAGAAATTGATGTTCTGCGGCATGTTGAAAAGCTTATGAAGTTGTGCAAGGCAGAATTCTGCATGGCTACCATAGATATTTCAGAATCTTCAGGAACTACAAGTGTTGTAAATTCAAAGGATCTTGGTCATTATGATGTCCCTCGCATTTTGTTGAGTGGCAAGATAGATCACTATTGTGAAAAACTTCAAATGAAGTGTTTTTGTAGAGAAGCTTTGATTGTGTCAAAGATCTTATCTCTCCAACCAGACAAGCTGGTACAAGGTTAGTTTACAGAAGTCAATGAATGGAAAGCAAAGAAGTTCAGCTCTGAACCCTCAAGGTGAAGAGTGAGAAACTCTGTGAAGCCTATGATGTGTATGATTACTTAAAAAAAAAAAGAGTCAAATGACATCACCTACGTGGCCGATCTTGCTAGGAGCCATCCTGGTTTCTAATAAGCATGATTGGGAGATGACCATCTGCATTCGATGCTTATCCCTGTCACGTCTTCCTCTTCCCTTGCACAGCATTTTGAATAAATCCACAGTTAATATTTAAATAAATTGGTTTTTAGGAGTGGCAACTACCTTTTGCAGACTGTATTATAAAAAATGTATTATGAAACAATTGTTCAATTAAGGGTTTTAGGAGGGGGCGGGGCTGAGTGGTTAGGGTGCTGGACTTGTAATTCGGTGTCTTGGGTTGAAGTCCTCCACCCTGCCACTCATTGGATTAATTTTGTTCTCGGTCGCCCCTAGTTGAACTCCCTGGCTGCACTCTGTAAATAGCCCACTGGTCTGCCTCCTGCCAGTGGGGATTTTTAAGCACTTAGTTTACATTGTGGCTGAAAATCCCCTGAGGGGGAGCTTCAATTTACATATTTATATTTTATATTTATTATATTTAATGTCATAAGTATCAAACCTTGTGTCTGAGTTATCTAATTCAGTCTTCAGCTTTGGTGGATAACTCAGACCTCGGAATTGATAATTCATGGTATCATGCTCAATCTTTTCCTGACCAATAATTGCTTATTGTCTTTGTACATTTATTTATTTTTGTCACATTTTCCTTGCAGCTGGAAGTGATCCATCGTATAACTGCAATAAAAGTTTTGTCAAATTGTTGGCATCATTATCAATGCAGGTTTGCAAACTAAACTTACCATTTTGCCAAGATTTGCATGAAGTTCCACAATCCATGCAAACTTCCCTAAACTTATCAGTGATCAAGGAGAGAGAGGAGACTTTGCAGGTTAGTGCCCAAAGAGATGACTTTTGCATTGTGGGATGGTAAATTCTGAACATAAGCCAATTGGCTTTTTCTACCAAAGCTTTTTCCAATATCTCTAACATGAGTAAAGAATCTGATCCCACCATGTGAGCCAATGCATGGATCGACACAGTACCAACATGTCGGCTGACACACTACCCACACAATACCAATGCATTGGCAGGCAATACCAACACTGGCCTCTAAGGATGCCAACATGAATGGATGGAAAAATACAAATTGCTACTCCCTGCAGGTGTGAAGTCAGTGCATAGCAGGCTACAGGGAGCCCAATAAATCAATAGCTTTCCAGGCCCGACTGTTCATAGTCTTGGGACATGACCTTTCAAATGAAAAATTTGCTTACATTTCAGAGAGAAAAGGATCTTCTTAGTGCACAGCTTTCTGAAAGAGATAAAAGCCATGCTCAGGAGCTTTTAAAACTTCAGTCCAAAATTTCTGCCTTGGAGAAAGACTTGGTACTTCAACAAGTAAACTTGGTCAATGTTGAGCAGGAAATCAGTGAAAGATGGAAGAAATCTCTACAAGACTTGCATATGGAAATGTCTAACACAATAACTGATCTTAAAAGAGACAAGATTTTCTACCAGGAAAAATTAGCAGCTGCAGCAGAAGACATGAAGAACCAGCAAAAGGCACACTCTCATAAAGTTAGCATTTTAAAGGACAGGAACGATATACTGCGAAAAAGACTCGCTGATAAGTTTGAGAAACTCTCCAAGGTTGTGGTTGCTTCTAAGGATACTGACAACTCCATGGTTGAAATATTGAAATCAGCAACCAGAGAGATTGAAGAAATGTGGTTTCAAAAGGATAATTGCATTATATGCACTCTTGAGAAACCCAACTGTGTTGTCATCCCTTGTCGTCATCAGATCACTTGTTTTAAGTGCACTTCATACTTGGAAAGGTGCTCATATTGTAGAGGGCCCATAGAGCAAAAGATTCTCACTTATAGTCTGTAGTGATAATGTTCCATTCTTAAACCCTCAGAATTGATCAACATGTAACAGCACTCAACACTAACTAGCCAAGTGGCAAGTGACATCTTAGATGTTATGACAATTTCAGTTTGTTTACTAGCCAAACTGACAAGTGGAAATTGAAAATCACAAGCCAAAACTGAATTTCTACTAGTTTGCGGCTAGTGGGCTACCATTAGTGTCAAGCCCTGATGTAAATGCCCCCTTTAATAATTATCTATACATTATGTTGCAACCAAGTTATAAGAATACTCAAACTTATTGGGTAGTTGTTGCTTTAATCCAACACCAAATTCTTACAAGTAATTTACTTGGAAATTGTAGAAGGTAGAGGGGAGAATCATCAATCAGATCTTGAGAGTAAAAGGATTGACTGTCATATTTATTCTGCCAATAAGAAAGGTCATTGGATAATCATAGGCCAGACCTAGAGTTTTGAGCTTTTAAGTTTTTAAAGATTTGTACAGTGTACAGGTGAGAGAACAATAGGACACGTAGTCCCCTACTAGGTTCACCCACCTAAACCAACCCCAACCCACCCATGCCACCCCAGGGGAGGACATCCATCACACAGTAATCTCGTGCGTGGGAAATTAATGTCTCCTGCCCCCTAACCCTGCAGGAGACAGGACCTCCATTTAATCGTCCCTATCTGCGAAGACTAGAATATCTAACCATTTCTTGATGTTATAGAAAGGTAGCATATTCTTCTCAATTATTTTAAGACCTTGAGTGTTGGTCCGGCCAGGGCTCGAACCATGGACCTCCCGCACAACAGTCCAGCGCTCTATCCATTGTGCTAACCATGAGTCACTGTAACTTAACTCCCAGAAGTGATTAACTTTTAAATTTTTCCTATAATATCCATACATGATCCCACAAAGAGGTCATAAGAAATAATACTCAAACTTATCAGGTAGAAGTTGTCACCTTGATTGAAGACCAAATTCTCATAACCAATTTACAAGGAAATGAGTAGCAACTAGAGGGGAGAAATCATAATTAGATTTTGGGAGTTAAAAGGTTGACAAGTCTGTGGGACAAACTGCTACATGAATACTATTTCCAAAACAAGTCAGCGACTTATTTTATTGCTATAATCAGAGAGAAAATTCCAATGACCTTATGATACTGTGCAAATCCATTAACCTTTAAGAGAGACTGGAATCTGGTGTGTCCTTCCAGTACCACTGATGAATCAAAGATCAAAGTCCTAATAATAATAATAATAATAATAATAATAATAATAATAATAATAATAATAATAAATTAACAATAATAATAAATGACAATTTGTATTTTGCCCTATCCAAAAGCTCTAAGGTGCTTCACAATCAAGGTAAAAAGTAAAATAATAATAAAGGAAATGATCCTCACCCTGAGAAGCTGTAAAGAGAACAGTATGAAGAATAGTAATGTTGGGGTGTTAAACGATACTGGTTATTCCTAGTCATTTGGGAGAGGGTCTGTCACACATTTGCAAGTGGAGTTCCCACAATTACTTATCTCTAAGCTATGCAATTTTAGTATATACACACTCAGTGATCTTGGCATTTCAAGCAGTCTGATTGGTTTGCTATCTTGGGCTAATCAACAATGTACACCTCCGAGTGAATGGATAATGTGAAAAACAAAATGGGGCGCGTAAACTCGCGTTTCGCTGAAGTTTCAGAAGCAGAAATTGCCTTTAAATGGCTTCCTTTTAATTTTGTCAAGATCACTTCATGTATATATACTAAAACAATTATTGTTTTCAATCTCCGAGAATAGTGGCTATCCGGAATATTTACCACACCGCTTTGCAGCTCAGTAAATATTTAGCCACTCGATTTCAAAGAATAATTGTTAAATATAACAACTTTTATGGCAGTGCAACGATATTCAATGACCTGTCGCAATTTTTGGAAAGATTTCCATATAACCCCATACCGATCAAAAACAAAGCCATAGTCCCAAAGGAAATCTGTTGTTTTGCTTCTGCTTTCCTTTATCCAAGAATTGAATGCATAATGAAGTATGGGGTTATACGGAAATCTTGCTCAATTTTTTTTATATAAACTTTCATTTAACGTAGAGCTTCCCGTCTGAGAAAATACTTTAGTAGGAGTATAATATGCCTCAGTTGACTTTGTCACTATTACATGTTTTGCTGCAGAAGAAAAATTGAAAGAACTAAAACTTATTTTAACTAGTTACTTGGAATTATTCCTTTCTCAAATCGTTATCTTTCGAGCGATTTTAGCGGCCTGTTGTGCTTTGAGAACTGAGTCATTCACTCGATGTCTTTCTACAAGTTCAGTTCCCATGAAATAGCCTTCTTGTCGCGGTCTTCCATGACTACCGTCTGGGAAAGTAATTCGACCCTCGCCATCGACTCTTCCACTTTGAAACCTGCCTTCAAAGCGCATCCCATCACTGCGCGCGAAAGCTCCAAAGCCGTGGTATTTTCCGTTTTCAAATTCGCCCTCGTACAGGGAACCGTCAGGGAACTTTGCAACACCGTGTCCATGGCAGAACCCGTTTTGAAATTGTCCAGTATATTTCGTTCCGTCGACTAAAGTAAGATCGCCAATCCCGTGTTTTCTGCCATCGTTATTCCACTCCCCATCGTATGTGTCGCCGATAGGGTACGTGAATTTGTGCCTGGCTATCGCTTGGGAACTGGGAGAGGACATCTCGACAAGTTGTTTAAGCTTGCTCAACTTTGATTATTGCGAAATGCAAATAGTGAATCGAAACTACCCTGAAGGAAAATTAAGGCAGATGCTTCTCAACAAATTTGGCGCCCTGGTGATGAGACAACAGCTGAAATATCAAAATAACAATGCCCTTACGGCCTCCTGCAAATTACTCGGGAAGAAATAAGATAGAATCTAATCAAAGCCATCAGTTTGGATTGCATTTGCATATCACTCGAAGACCCCAGGCGTTCTTGTAATTTCCTGTAACATCCCACAATCCTTCGAGAGGCTCCTGTCATGCTCAGCGGTAACTCTTTTAGCGCCACTTTCAGAAAACTTGGAAAATTTTCAAAATTTACAGGCTTGAATTGTTGGCAGCGATGCTGAAGAAATAGTTTATCTCCTGCTGATTTTAGCAGGTTCCTGCGTGCTGAGTTGGTAGCAGTTTTCTTCAGTTGCAAATATGACTGCACACTTGATCTGCATTTTCGTTTGACGTTCCTATTGCTGTGTTGTGAACATGGGGTTGGTTTGGAGTGCAAAGCAAGACAAATTTGACAACACTTTGCCGGAGAACGGAGGGAAAAATTGTTTATATTCTCCGGATGACAGCTGCGATGATTCCGAGGAAAACTTTTATGAAACTATGGAGAGGCAATCACAGTCATCCTGTTGCGATAACCTTGTGCAAGAACTCGAGATCGACTCCGAAAATTTCGTTAAACAATCACTGACAACAACGGGTACTTCAAGCGATGTGCGACATTCAGGAAATACTTCAAAGCCTGCTCTTCAAGGAAAGTCTAGCAACGTAGGCGAATTTTCGAGAAAAATTTCCGAAACTAACTCGAAATGCGTAGCTAATGAAGAAGAAAGTGTCTGCATTGATAACAGCATCGATAGATGGAAGACAGAAGTTGATATTAGTAGAGTTGATCCGTTGTTGGTTGAAAGGGAAAAACAAATCCCAGAATACAGCACCTTTTCGCAGCCATTTCTTCCCAAAGAAAAATTGCTTCAGGGAAAGTATGCAATTAAAAGTTTTTCTGATTCAGCAATGCAACATGAAGATAAGATTCCAGAGCCTGCTCGTCAAGGATTATCTAGCAACATTTGCGGTTTAAACACAGGTGAAATTTTCAGATTATCTCAAGAAACTAACACAAAATGCATAGCTAATGAAAAAGACAGTGACTGCAGTGTTAGTAGTATTGATAGATGGATGACAGAAGGTAACAAAAATAGATCTGATCCATCATTGGTTCAGGGAGAAGACCAAATGATAGAATGCAGCACCTTTTCGCTGCCTTTTATTTCAGAGGAAAAATTGTTTCAGAGAAAGTATGCAAGTAAAAGCATATCTGAACCTGCAATGTCTGTAGCAGTCGACAATCTGCACCAACAACAATCTAAAGTGCCTCTGCCTTGTGCATGGCAAGTTGATATAGACTGTTTCAAATCAAAGAAAAGAAAGAAACTTCCCAAGAAGTATTTAAGAAACAGAGATGAAGACTCACAGGCTAATTATGGTGATGAAAATGGCAGGTCTATAGCCAGTGATAATCAAGGACTGCATCAGAGAGGTTGTTTGGCTTCTACAGATATCGCCACTCAAGAAATGATGGCTCGAAGAAAAGTGCTAGACCTGAGAAGATGGTATAATATGTACTTATTGACTGATAGGGAGGGCCACAGGGGAAATATTTGACTCGAGGTCTTTTTTTTTTTTTTGCAACAAAGCCGTACATGTACATATACACCAGGGCCAGACAACTTTTTCTGGACCAGCTTACATCAACCCATCCAGCCTTACACGCATCAGCTTTTACTATGCTTCTCTATCGGATTGAGTGAGTGGTGCTGGATGGGTCATATGATGAATTATATTTATACCCCATTCACACCCAAGCTGAAACACACTTTAAACATAGTTTGAAATTGTTTTTGTCAATGAAATAGCTTAAAGTGATGTTTGCTGTCTTCAAATTTAGCACAAACAAAATTAACGTTGGTTGTAACTTGAGCAATGACATGAAAAAATTTAAGTGTAGTCTTCCGGTTTTCAATCGCTAATTTTTTTTAAGCTAAACCTGTTTTAACTGAACAAGTTTTGCTGGACAGGTGTTAATGAGGCATTAGTCAACAGTCTTTTAACAGCAGTGCACATATATGATTTTCATAAATTATATTCTTAGTCTTTGATTTATCACTTCACAAGGTTTAATACAAACCAACATAATGACCAGCTTCCAGTTGGGTTGTTAGGTCAGTTGTTAGAGCACTGCACTGGTATCGCAGTGGTCATGGGTTCAAATCCTGCACAGGCCTGAATTTTTTTCAAGTCATATTTTTACGCCAACCATGTAATCTTGATCTAGTTCCTGCAATATTTATTTCAAACTTGGCCCACTGAACACATTTATTGGGAGCCAGCTTTCATTGATGGAGTGCATGCAGTTTTCTGTCATTTTTGTAAGGTTGATTATTTTAACTCATTTGCTGAGATTCAGGGGTACGGTAGTTGGTGGAGATAGCCTCATTTTCCCTTTGTCCAGTTACAACAAACTGCTGCCTGTTTAAAAGGTCCTCTACAAGAATTATCAATGAGGTAATATTGTTTAATGTAACTCGAAATTCTCAAAACTGACCGACAAAGAAATGTGTCATAATCAGTCAAGAGAATCAGCTTTCAGATCCGAGGAAGTTTGAAGTGAAGTGGTAAAGGTAACGTCTAAGATGGATGATGTTTTCCTTACAATGGCAGGTACTGCATGAGCCGACCTCAATACAAGAAGTCTTGTGGTATTTCATCTGTGGTGTCTTGCTGGAATTTCTTGTTCAGTTCTCTTGGTGCAGGCAGGTGTGTTCTTAAACCACTTTTGGCCCTTGACATCAGTAGGCATATTCTCTGTACTGTTCTCTATACATTTCCTGAGGTGCTGACAAGGAGAATTTATTTAACAATCAATAGCTTCCTTGATTGGTGATCATTTCCTTTATTCTCCTGACCTCAATGTGTGATTCAGGGGTGGTATTGTAAGGAGAAATTAGATGCTGGTCACTGTTACAGGTTAAAAGGGTTAAAATTTTCTACTCCTTTATGCAATCAACTCATGCCTGAAGAATGCCTTTATTGGTATAGGTTATTGCATGATTTTGTGTGCAATTTGAAATAAATAAGCCCCAATAATATTTCTCAAAAAACCCAAAATTGCATGAGCTCATAGAGGGAGTTCTATCTATAGTCCTTGAAAAGATTTACGAGTGCTTCTTCTGAGAAAAAACATGTTATTACTCACAAATGTTATACTTAAAATGTTCTGAGATAGCATTTCATACTAATGCACAAGCAAAGGGGTGTAAATTATGGGTTTAGAGTTAGGGTTATGGTCAATTTAAACCCTGTCAATGTCATTGTGTGTTAGGTCAAGACAACCACATCTAGTAAAAAAACAGCAATTTTTTTCTCTAGTTTTAAAACTGCAGAAATGGTTCCAATCCCAGAGAAACATTTTGTTGTTGTTTTGCATTGCAAAGCTATTGAAGGACCAGACAAGTGTTCTGGCTCATTAGCTGATCTATGGAATGTAATTCAAAATTTTTATTTGAAAATGATCTTTATGCACACATTTCTTTAAGTTTACAGCCCCTTACTCAGGAGGTAGCTTTAGACATACTAGGATTCAAACCACCATTTGGAGAAATAAGGTTTGGACCATTCACTGGAAATGCTACTTTAATGAGGTAAGAAATCAGATTTTAGTCTGAACCTCTTCTTTTTTTTTTTTTTTTTCTTTTTTTTAAAGTGTCATTTTCAATGCTACTCACTTAAAGATAAATCTCAAAGGGAACAGGCCATCAAATGGTTCTTAACCAAATAGTATATTTTCCATTTACTAGCCAATAGTAATTTAAACCTGAAACTGTGAATAAGTTGTGAATGTTTAAATCTGAGTGAGTGACAAGTTTGCATATTTTGAGCCCTAACAATAGTTGCTCTATGCTTTGCATATCCATTACTAAAAATGTGGGGAAATTGGCCATAGCAAAACACCTAGGAAATGTTTTGTTTTGTTTTGTTTTTTTTCATTTGTTACCCACATTTGGTAGTTTTTATGTTATAGTTCTATCTATATTAACAAAGAGGAACATAAATTTATGCAGGTGGTTCAAACAACTCTGCAATCACTTTAGAGTGGATGGGGATGCCTATATTCTGTATAAACCAAAGGGGAAGAGTCGCACCATTGGTCTGAGTGGAGAGGAAGCCTTACGTCAGCTCAAGAAGGGCCTGCATAACCCCCAGATGGCTTTCATTTATCATTGTTATAACCATTATTTTTGTCCCATTGGATATGAGGATTCACCCATAAAAGCTGTTGATGCGTACAGGTACTGTACACTTTAGGTGGCTGATTTTATCTTTTTTTCTTCCCAACTGAACGCCCAGCTTTAACTCCCAAAGGTGATCACATTCCTTTATATCGGATTCCATACATTATCCCGCAACAGGTAATAAGAATACTCAGACAGCTAGAGGGGAGAATTAACAAGCAGATCTTGAGGGTGAAAGGGTTAAATGCAGGAGGGAGGGGGTGGGGAAAATGTCATGGTGTAGCAATACTTCCACATCTTGGGGGTGGGGGGGGGGAAGCCATTTGCATCATGCGACAGAGACCAGCCATGGGCAAGCTCTGGCTGGATGAGCCACTTGGTTCAAGTACAGGCTTTAACCCTTTCACTAGCAAGATCTGATTGTAAATTCTCCCCTCTAGCTGTTACACATTTGCTTGTAAATTGGTTTCGAGAATTTGGTGTTCAATCAAGGTAACAACTCTTACCTGATAAGTTTGAGTATTCTCATTACCTGTTTGCTGGATCATGTATGGATATTATAGGGAGAAGTTACATTTTAATCGCTTCTGGGAGTTAGAAGATTAACCAACATATCAACCAGCAAGTGACTGCATATCCTGTTTTATAATTGTCATTATTAAAAACTGGATCATTGGATAATGCAATTCAAGACTTTTCATTGGCTTAGCCATTATGGTATATTGGCCAATATACCATAAACTACGATATGGTAAGCGTATGCATAAGCTTAAAATTGAAAGGGAGCTATAAATGTAATAAAATTTAATAATTTAATGTAGCGTTTTTGATTAAACAATTATTCCACTCGCATTTGTTGGATATGAGATGATTATAGCCAACGAGGCGCTACACGCCTCGTTGGCTATCTATCATCTCATATCCAACGCGCGCTCGTGGAATAATTGTTAATTAGTTTACCTACTGTTAGTATTCTTATAAATTAACAACTTGATTACAATTTAAATGTTAGCGCTGAATACTGAACATGAAATTTCTGTAGGGCACAGTTGTATGAAGACGAAGTGAAAACATGGATATTGATTGGGGACCCAAGTTGCAAACATCCAAGTATTCACTGCAAGAGGTGCAGAACCATTGTGTTAAATTATTTTTATCCCATGGCTTCATGCATGTTATGATTTTGTAGCATGCAAGCTGATGCTGTTTTTCTTGTCAATGGTAACTTGTATCTCCTTTGTCTCAGTTGGGCTGACATTCAAACAGATTTGAACAATGAGGCTCCCTTCTACCTCAACATTCGTCAACTCCACAAGGGAATCCTTCAAAGAAATGTTAAAAAGACAGGTGGAAATCTTCATTGCATCATGGCTTTCCACAAAAGTACTTGGAAACACCATAGGAAAGCTATGGCAGCCACAGGGAAGAGAGTGTCTCTTGACGAAGAAGAAAGTCAGAGTTATGGCAGCATATCAGAAGAGCACCTGCCAAGTGACTCCAGTGACTCTTAAAGACTACATTTTTATTTATTTGTTTAAAAAATATTTAAAGAGGGAGCCCAGCTCGCCATAGCAGTTTTCACTGAGGCCCTCAAACTTAACAATGTACAAATTAAGTAATCACGTAATTAATAAGTAAAAACTCACGGTTGAAATATGAAATATGAAATATCTAAAATATGAATTAACTAAAATACGAAATGTCTAAAATAGGACATGAACAGAAATTAATAAAATCTATGTACAAGAGATGATTGACACACTAACGGAACCTGTTAAAATTCAAAATATTTAAGCAATGAAATTTTAAAAGCATCATAGGGTAGACATTTCATGTCTTCTGGGAGGGAATTCCAGCCTGTCAATGCACTATTAAAAGATCTGAGTAGACCCCCTGTTGGTGTTTGATCTAACAGATCTAATAGTTTCCTAGGAGGGAGTGTTATGGCTATGATAGTCTGTGCCTTGAGTAATCATACTGTTTCTTTCACTTAACAAATGGTAAACACCACAGCGTACACTATTGAGTTATGGATGCACGCGGAAGGTTGCTAAGCACGAAAGAAGCATAAGAGTAGTGCGAGTTGAGTGCTTAGCATACCTCCCAAGTGCATCCATAACTCAATAGTGTACACTGTGGTGTTTACCATTTGTTTTATAACGTAACATTGATACATTGTAGCTAAAGAGTTCCCTTTTATTTAACAAATCTTACGTGACTAGAAAAAACAATCACATGGGGAAAAATAGTCTTTGCATTTGCTCACGTCAGCAGCGCACTCCCATGGGGGACGCTAAATTGACCAATCAGAGCGCTCGCTTTACTTGGTTGTGTTATAACAACATTTTGTGTATAGTCAACTTCTCATAATAAAAGCGAACCTCACATTGCATGTAATTCAAATCACAACTGATTTGCTCTAATTTTCTCCACAATTTTGCCTTAAATAACCCAAAACCTCATAGATAACTTGAAAATCATCAAATTCTTCAGTATATAGTACTTTCAAAAACTCAAACCTCTTTGTCTTTATGATATGAAAGTACACTAGTACCTTTTTTTTTTTATATTAGCAAAACATTCTCCAATATTTTCAGTGAAGGACAAGAAAGTCTCTGTGACTGTCTAATTGAATCCTTACTTCTCTTCCGTACATCATATGTACACAGAGACAGACAGGATAAGGTACAAAAACTACAAAACAAATTTGGTAAGTTTGTTAAAATGTATTTGTAAAAAAAGTTAAAGGCTGATAGTTTCTAAAGAAACTGTTGGGGGCTGCGTCGGTGGGGGTAACGAAATAATTCGAATATATCAACAAAGTTGAAATGGTAAATTGGCCACCGTTACGATTATAAAAGCTGACGTTTCGAGTGTTAGCCCTTCATTGAAGCGAATTCGAAGGGCTAATGCTCGAAACGTCAGCTTTTATAATTATAACGGTGACCAATTTACCTTTTCAACTTTGTAAGAAAGGTTGTTTTTTTTTTTTATGCTCTAAGAAGGTTGAATAAATGTGTGTGTGAAAAAGTGTGTTTGTGTGTGTGAACTTGAGTTCTTATCATATTTCCTGTCGCCAAATGCAAAACCTGCAATTTCCTGCCTGACTATATTCGCATGAGTGCATTTAAAGACTTTAGAAAGATAATCCAAGGCTGTATCTTTGTATAGTCGCTCCCGCTTATCTTCACTTTTCTGTTAATTTCTACTGATATGTTACATAATTATATTTCTAAATACTGTGTATTTTAGTATATTTTAGTATAGTTAGTATTTTAGATCTTGTATAGATATATGTGGAGGCGCGGTGGCCTCATGGTTGTTGCGCTCAACTCCGGATCGAGTGGTCCGGGTTTGAGCCCCGGCCGGGGAAATTGTGTTGTGTTCTTAGGCAAGACACTTTACTCTCACAGTGCCTCTCTTCACCCAGGTGTATAAATGGGTACCGGCAATTTAATGCTGGGGGGTAACCCTGCGATGGACTGGCATCCCATCCAGGG